TTTTAAGCAGATAAATAAATAAATATTTTTATCACTATTACTTATATATAAATAATTCTTCGCTTATGATCTGAATTAAAAAAATAAAAGAGTATATAAGTAATTTAAATACAAAAAATAATATTAAGAAAATATAAAAAAGAAATATAATAATTTATAAAGAGATACTTATAAGAATTTAATAAATTTAAGTTTATTATAAGAAATACTTGAATTATAAATAATAGAAGATTTTATTTTATAAAAAGAAAATTAAAAAGAAAAAAATATAATTTAAAAGATTTATATAATAAGGATTATATGATATAGCTAAGATTGCTTATTAAAGTTATTTTAGATTTGACAAAATATTTAAACTTTATTTTTTATTAAGTATTTAATATAATTTTAAACTTTAATATAATTTTACCTTTTCTAGAATTTTACAGATTTTTTAGATTTTTAATAAAGTTTTAATATAATTTTATTAAATTTTACTTTTTACTATTTAAATGATTTGTAAAATTCTTAGCAATCTTAGATATAGTAAGCTAAATAATCAGTCTAAAATTATACAAATAGATATAATAATTAATAAAGAGAAATAATATTATTATTAGACATAATAATATATATAATAATATTAAGATATTAAAGAAAGTTAAAGAAGGATAAATAATAAAAAATGCATTAATTATATAATAAAAATATAGTAATAATTACGGTTAACATTCTTTATAATAAACTGATAATTCTATTAAAAAAATTCGTTATATAAATTATTATATTTTATATAAATAATTATATTCTTTATAATAAATTATTATTAAAATTTAAAAATTGTTAGTTAATTACAGTTAAAGTTGATTATAATGAATTTCTTTATAATGAATACTAGATATAATGAATTTATAATTTTTAAATTTTAATAATAGTTCATTATAAAAAGTATAATGGTTATATAAAAAACATAGTAATTTATATAACAAACTTTTTTTTAATAGAATTACAGTTCGTTATAAAAAGTATTGACTGTATATCTAGTATTTATTATAAAAAGGTTTATTATAACTAGCTTTAACTATAAAATATTATGAAATAATGTATTTAGTCATATTTATAGTAATATTAAATAATAATTAAATAGTAATTATTTTCATTATTTATAAATTTTAATAAAGATTATATAAAACTGTTAAACTTAAAAAAAGTAATTATTTTCATTTATAATATGAATATTACAGAGAAATAATATCAATTATTATATATTTCTTTTAATATATTAGCAATTAGTTTAGAAATTTTATTATAAATAGCTTAATTTCAATCATAAAAATAATAATTATTTAATAAACAGTTAATTTGTAATTAACTAGGTAATTATTAAGAATATAATTATAATTCAGATAATTTAATAATTTATTTATTATAATAATTCTTAAGCATTTTTCTTTATTTTAAAGAATTTTATTATTTTTAAAGATATACTTGAATGCAAATATATAGGACTAGTCTAATAAAAGCTGAAGTTTGATAAATTACATAATTTTAAGAAAATGCAGTTTAAAATTATTAGTTAATTTAATAAATTGCAATTTATTCTATTATTTTTAAAGATTTTTAAAATTGGTTTTATGTAAACTAGGATAAAATTTTGCAAGGAAGTTATTAAAAGCATTAATTTTTTTAGCAAGTTTATTTTATTCATTAAATATAATAATAAAAAATATAACAATTATAAATTATAAATATTATATTTTTTTAATATACTATTTTTGCTAGACTAGTTCCTATATATATATTTTTTTATTATCAATTTAACTAATCTGTTATTTTGAAATATATTATTAATTTAGAAGTTGTATTTTTTTTAAGCGTATTTTATTAAGTCAAATAAGTTTTTATATTTTTTAACTTAAAATTTTAAGTTATAAATGAATATCTTTATGTGATAAAAATTTCAATCAAATTTAATTAAAATCTCTTATAAGAATATGAAGTATAAGTTAAATCTAGCTATTATTTGATTAATTAAATATTTTAGTCTGTCTAATTATTAGTAAATTGCAGACTACCATATATTTCTGATAATAAGCACTTTTTTTATTATAAAGATGCTTATTTTTGAAAGATTTTAAATACAATATTTAAAGATACGATAATTAATAATTGAAATGATTATCTGATTTATATAATGATTTTGTAAGACGAAATAATAATACATATGTATATTGTATATATTGCATATTCTGCATATATATACTATACGTTCTACATATACTGCATGCATGTACTGCACTATACTGTGCATTTTACACATACTGCATGAAAATCTATTTTAAACCCAATATTTTGTAAATACCAAAAGTAAAATGTAAGCGTAATTCTTATTCTATTAAATAAAAAAAAGTTGTTGTTAATTATGCAAAACAAGTAGAAAAAATAAAGCAGCAAGTCATTTTGTTGAAAAATAAGTAAAAGCAAGCTCAAATTGAACTAAAGTAGACTAAGACATTAAAAATGTTAGTTTAGGTTAAAAACCTTTTTATCTTGAGGCTGAAAAAAAATTGTATGAGTGGATAATTGAGCGAAGAAAATAAGAGTTAGTAGTAACTTATATAATTGTGAAAGTTAAAATGCTAGAGATTTTAAAAAAGGATAATATAAAATCAGTAACAATACTGGTAACAGCAGCAGTAACAGCAGCATCACTAACTATACTAATACTAATAATAGCAAATAGTTTCAAAACATCTAATAATTAGATATCTTCATTTTTAAAAGATACAAATTGGCTTAACAGAGATATATAAGAGTTTCACATAAATTTCTGCACAAACTGAAGAAGCATTAGAAAGGTTTCATCAATTTGTTATTTATCTTAGGATTGAAAATCCTTTGAGTTATATAATATTTTCAACATAAATGAAACTCCTGTCTGGTTTAATATGACCAAATATTTTAATATTAAATAAAAGGGTAAGAAAACTATTTATATTTATGTAACGAATAATAAAAAAACTATATTAATATGTTCTGCAGTAAGAGTAGGTTATTTTTGTTGAATTTAGTAAAATGAATAGTAAACATTAAAAAACTTATTTTTTAATATCAATAGATGAAACAAAATATTCTCCAATTTACATATTTAAAGAAAAATGATTAGCAAAAGGAGAATGCATTCCTTTGGTATATTTGTTTGATTCTAAGAAAATGCTGAATATATTTTGAATTGATGATGTAGTATATTAATTATCTTAATAATGAGAAGAATAATAAATTCAGAACGTTAAAGTTAATGGTATATGATTTCTTTAGAGATCACTTGGAAAAATTGATTAAGAAAAAGTTTAAAGAAGATAATTATAACTTGGCTATCATTTCTGATAGCTTAACCAGTATATGTCAACCTCTTAATGTAGTGATTAATAAACTGTTTAAAGATAATCTTAGGAAAGAATGGCATTTATAGATGGCCAGTAGTAGTGCTGGTCAAACAGCTAGAGGTAATCTTTGATGGGTTAAGCTTGATGATTTATGTGGATGGTAAAACGATCATGAAACCAAATTTCTAATGAATTAATTATTGATTCTTTTAAAACTTATCATATATCAGATACATTAGATGATTTAAATGTTGGTAATAGCAATGATGATATTATTGATGTTATTGAGTAGCTAAGGATTTTTTTTATTCTTTTATTTGTAAATACAATAATATTGTGTATAAAAATTTAATAAAACTATTATAATATTTGCGAGTGCTTATTTTTAAAAGATATATAAATGTGGGGGTGCTTATTATTGGAAGTATATGGTAAATAGCTTAATAAATAAATATTATTGGTATTCAAAAATTTCAGTAAATATTGCAAGTACAACTTATTAAAAGAAAGAATATGTAGTTCTTATAGTTATAAATCATAATTCTTTTTAGATATTTGTTGTAATAATAAGTTAAACAATAAAATATATTGATAGATATTATTGGAAATGTTTTTATTTTAATTTTAAAATGGTATCAAAATGAATAAGAAGAATTGTAAACTTATTTAGAAAATTTATAATTAAAAGTAAAGATTTTATAAATCCTCTATAGTTATATTTTTTAAAAGAAAAAGGGTTATATAATTATTTTATCTTACAATAAATCTTGATTATTTTGGAAGGATAAATTTAATATATATAAAAATTTTTAGTTAAAACATTTCACACATTAGTAATTATTTTTATATGATTTGTTATTTGTATGTTATTTATTTAATTTTTTTTTTAATTAATAGTTTTTCATTGATTATAAGTGGTATAATATATGCATTTCAAGTGACTTTCACAGAGGTTCACCATGATAAGGTCAGTGCAAATGAATTTTTTAATCTTTTGAATGGAATAAAACATATTTATGATGTTGCAGTTAAAGCTTGTGAAGCAATTTTTTGTTAAAAAATTTGCTTTTGTGGTTTTACAAAAATTTTAAATAAACTCAATGTAATGTACAGTACGTCTATATTGCCTACCAAATAAATTTTATTGAAATCATCAAAGTCACTTGAATAAATAAGAACAGCGGCTATTTGTTATTATATTTACGAAAGAATCGTTATTTGTACAATTTATGTAAATCGTTCTTCACTTGCATTTACGTCATCAAAAAAGCATTCTTTGAATTGGGAAAATTACTCTATTTGAACGAAAGAAGATAATAAAAGTTTAGGTCTTAGGATCGCGCGTTAACATCATTTTTACAAAAGAAATAATTGCATTTTAAATCCTGCAGGACATTTCGAATCTCAAATAACAACAAGAAAAAAATAGAAAAGTTGGAATAAAAATCGATGTGATTAAATTGAATTAATGATTAAAAAAGGTTTGAAAGACAATTTACAAAGAACCTTTTTCTGGGAAAATCACACTATAATGGCTTCCGTGAAATCCGGGTATTTTATTTGGTTTTGATATTTTTTAAAGAACTATCCAAACATTTAAATGATAATAATGTCTATTTTTTTTTTTTTAATGTCCTATCCGGATGATAAAAATTCGGAAAAGAACTTTGAATCTATCTGAAAAAAGCAAAATTTATGTAGTCCATATTTATACAATTAGACTTGATAGGAAAGTCCGTTATCTCAGGCCAACATTACTCTATTTTTTTTTTTTTTTTTTTTTTAAAAAAAAAAAAAACCGATAAAAATATAAGGAGTCTACAGGTCATAACTAGAAGGATATCTTATGTAACACTTGTATTTCTCAATTATTCTCACATATTCTTCTTCTTGATAATCAGGGTTTGATAAAAGAATAGAAATCGTTGGTAAACCTTTCCAGTCCTCTAAAACTTCACGTAGGGTTTTAGGTGAAAATCTAAAATCATTGATTTCTCTTAACCTAATTGGCGCGGACCTAATCAATATATCAGATAATTTTTGTCCAGCCTCCAACTTTTTTTGTTCGAATAAACTGTCATCAAACCTATTGTTTATATGCTCTAAAATCAATGATAACGCCTCCAATCTTTGACATGATTTTAATAAATTTTCGAATTCAATGTAATGACTCTTTGATGGTGGAAATACAATTGATAAATGTTCTATTAAAGGACAATTTTCACAAATTATACGAATAAGCAAAAGAGAATCGTCCCAAAAATGTTCATCTTGAGCGTCATAAATGAATTTCTTGATTAAAAGTTTCCTAAGACTTTTTTCACTATTTTTAATTATACACATAACTGTTTCAATTTCAATATAATCTATTTGAAGGACTTCAAGACTATGAAAGAATGACCTTTTTAATTGACTTTCATAATTGGGTCTGGTAAAAAAAGGAGAATTAAATTTTAACGTTTTCAAGTTATGAAGTTCTGGAAGTATCAATGGTGGAAATATGTAATCATTTCTATGAATAGGAATAATATCGTTATTATTAATGTAATGACAATTATGAAAATCCGTCACAAGATGGAGGAGTGTATCCGCCTTTTTTTTTAACGCAAGAAAAATTTCATCATGAGCGGTGTTATTTACGAAATCTAAATCATCATTAAAATGATCCTTCCACTCAAAAAATTTCAAGTTTCTCTGGGCCTCAATCAACCTAAGGATTCCACAATTAGCTTTTACGCTTGTATGAAAAATAGTGATTCTTTGTATATCTTGACAGATTTGGGATAATCCATAAAAGAGTGAATGATCAATAGACGTGTCGCATGTTAAATCACATAACGTCTCAAGACGAGTCTTGGCCCCCGGAAAGTAAAATATGTGATGTTTCATCGACCTCATATCCAAATATTTTAACTCTGGAATTCTTCTCATGAAGAGGGCGTAAATCTCTTGTTGTAAAAGAAATTGTTTATAAGTTGTTGAAGCACCAATAGAAATTATTTTGGATATAACATTTGCGTTAATACTTTCGCAGAAAGATAAATAATCGAATAGGAGTGACTGATGAGAAGTTCGAGGCAATCTGATTCCTTGTTTTGTTAGAGATTTTTTAACACCATCGGATAAGAGAAAAGTAATCACATAGTACAAGGAAAGTTTGTATCGATATTCTATCTTTTTGCCTCCATTGAACCAAGGATCTTTCCATAAAACCGGAATTACGCATCTGAGCCAAAGTCTATTAACCAGAAGACTTGAAAAAAGAGATTGTGAATCCTCCTGTAATTTTGCAAATATCAAGGAAAGAATATACTCATTTAACTTGGACATTTTTTTTTAAAAAAAAATTGAAATCAAACGGAGTTCGTTCTTCTATATATATATATTTTTTTAATCAATTTAATCAATTAATCTATGTATGATTGCACATTTTTGAATGTCTTTTTAAGTTCAAAGCGATTGTGTAACGTTTATCCGATAAGATCACCAGACTCTTCCAACTAGGGCCAAATTTGGAACGTTCAACAAATTGATCTTTTATAGAATGTTGTTTCCTGAAATTTCGATCTAATTTGCAATATTCAAAGTAATAATAAAGATAACCTTGCGTATCAACTAAAAAAAAATTTGAACTTTATTCCTATATAATTGCTTGTACGATATCATCACTATATGATATTACGCATCTTTCCTTTTCATTATTAATTCAATCATTCAAATCAATAAATCAACTAATTAATTGTACGAAATCATTCAATAGCTGATGTAACTAATACATTTATATATAATTTTCTTCGGAATGAACCTTTTTCTACGGATCATCATAAATGTCGTATCGTGATTATATTTTCTCAAGATCCTCCCATTTGTAAGTTATGATATTCCAGCGATCATTCAATAATAATGATAATAATTATTATTAGTAATCATTTACAAGTTGTCTTCTATTTTAAATTCTCTAATTCAATAAAAAAGTGATTAAAGACATAATATTTGGTGCTTAACTTATCTCATCTAAATATTTAACTCGGGCATTTCCTCATCATGACTGGCGGCAATAGAAATTATATTTCTTGTGCTGATACTCTACTTTTCAGAAAAATTTTTTTACATCGGAATAATAATGTGGTACAAAGAACTAGGTATTATCCGAATAATTTATAATATCTAAATTCGGAACACCAAAGTTTATTAACGACAAGAGAGATGTAATTATTTCTTCAAATAACAAGAAAAAGACTCCTATTTAAGAAAAATTATCAATCATGATCGTTAAATTTAATAAAATGAATGCTACTTTTCACGTAAAATGCAACATTTTTTTGAGATGAAACCAAAAAAAAAGCATGAAAATTATAACTGCTGAAAAAAAAAAAGCTAAGGGCGAAACTATAATTTTGAAACAGTTTGATTTTCGGTAAGCATCAAAGTTTTATTCCACGGGAATTCATTGGAATTAATTCTATAGGAATTTTAATTTGATGCAAAGTACGTAAAATGCATTCATGATTTATATTAATTACCACCGATCTCTTCATTTGTTTCTTATATATTTTTTAAGATTGATATTGAACTTTAGCAAGGAGCTTTTCGATTCCAAACTTTATTTGATGATGAAGAAATTAATTTCGAATGTTAATAAATTTAATCAGTTACTTTAGGGTTAGGGTTAGGCTTAGTTTGTCACCGGTGTGACACTGGTGATGTTTCAATTTTTATTTTTTTCGGTGGGTTAGGTTTATTCGTCACGTAACACATACCGTATTCCTCCGAAAATAAGCAACCTTTTTTTATTATAAGGTTGCTTATTTTCGGGTATTTTCAGAATTTTATAATATTTAATATATATTGCTTATAAAATTCGTTTTCGAAAAATTCCAAATTCGATCCCGTGACTGTTGGTCACCTGTTTGTCACGTTTGATCGGCATTTTTCACGTAAAAATGCGAACAGAACTGCATTAAATACTCCATTCTAATTCATTTGTATGCTTGTAAAAAAAAATGCCGCAACCTATAAGAAAAAGGATTGTTAAGCGCACTTCATATTCTATTGAACAAAAAATACGGGTAGTTACCTACGCGAAAGAACACGGACAAATTAAGGCTGTAGAACACTTAATGCTTGTATACGATTCTTTTAGAGGCCATTTAGAAGAATCGGTTAAAAGAAAAATTTTATGAGTGTGGCTTTGATCTCGCGGTAATATTTGCTAATCACTTAACATTGCGATAAACAAACCATTTAAAAATCACCTCCATATGGAATGGCATGCTTGGGTGGCTCGTGGCGGTGCAGGAGAAACAGCCGCGAGAAACCTTCGTCATGCTAAGTTTAATGATATGTGTTTATGGGTTAAAAATTCCTGAGAAAGAATTTCTGACGAAATCATCATAGGATCCTTTAACATGTGAACTATCGATTGACTTAAATGAACCAGATTCTGATTTAGAGATTATTGATAAAGACGACATTGATACCAATGACGATGATGGTGATAGTGATGATGATGGCGATTGTGATGATGATAATGCGAATAATGACAATAATAGTGCTAGCGATTGTGTTTAATATGATAAAATAAAATTTAAGAATCTATTATAAATATATTTTCAATTGTTTTTTTAAATAACAATTATAAAGTTATATTAATTTAAAGCATCATGTTGCTTATTTTCGGATATAATACTATTTTCGGGGTTGCTTATTTTCGGAGGAATACGGTATCTCAACTAAAGAACAATTGAAATATAAGTATCTAATAATTTAAGGTTAGTAAGTGTGAGACGTTGTTTTATATAGTAAAGAGCGTAAATCTTATTGTGCTAATAATTACACGTAATTATAATTAATTTATGACAACCATTAATTTGTCGATTTTATATGCACCCACACGATTTTGTGCGTTTTGAAGAATTAAAAATTCGAATCTTTTATTGTCGTAATCAATTACATTAATTTCATTTGTTTTCTTTTTGAAATATTCACTGATTTTTTTTTGCGTACAAATAATAATAACTAGTCGATTCGACCAAAACGATACTTGTCTAATTAATCAAAACATTTCATATCTATAATCTTTAATCACGCCGTCAATTTTGTATTTACTAATTATCTTTATATATGCCTCTTTTTCATGATCATGGTCTGATGTAATTATCAAAAGAGCGGGTCGACCTCTCCAATTTTCTAAAAATTCCTCTAAGATTATCAATGAAAATTTAAAATAACCAAAAAATCTAATTTCTCTTAAATTAAATGGTGCAGACCTAACCAACACATTTAATAATCTCTCCCCGGATAAAAATCTTTTTCCTTCAATCAATTCATATTCATTGACATCATTAATACTTTCGGATATCTCCAATAATAATACCTTCAAATTTTGACAAATTACGAGTAATTTTTCAAATTCAATAAAGTGCTCTTTTGATGAAAGAAATGTGAGTGTCAAATATTCAATTAGAGGACAATGTTCATAAATCGTACGAATAAGGATAAGGGATTCTTCATAAAAATTTTCATCAAAGTTATAATCATCGATCAAAATCTTCCTAAGTCTTCCACCGCAATTTTTAATTATGCAAACGACCGTGTTAATTTCAATTAAATCTATTTGAAAGGATTCTAGGTTACGAAAGGTTGAAGTTCTTAATTGATCTTCGAATTCGAGATAGGAAACGTCAATCTTTAATGTTTTTAAATTGAGGAGTTTTGAAAATTTTATCATTAAAGGTGTGTAATAATAATCATGATAATACAAATTTATTACAAAATGAATTAACGTATCTGCCTTCTTCATTAATGCAAGAAAATTTTCTTTATAAGTATCTCTTGTAAAATCCACTTCATCAATGTCATTAAAATCATCCTTCCACTCGAAATATTTTAAATTTTCTTGAACCTCAATCAGTTTAACAATCCCATTATTAGAGGTTACGCTGGTATTGATAACGATGAGCCTTTGTACATATTTACAAATGCTCGCCAATCCATAAAAGTAGGTGGGATCAATAGATGTATCACATTTTAATTCAAAGAGTGATCTAAATCGATACTTTGCTTCTGGAAAAAAAAAGATTTGGTGGTGAAGTGATCTCATATTTAAGTTTTTAAATTCTGGGCATTTTCTCATCAAGAGACCGTAAATTTCTTGTTGCAAAAGGAATTGATTGTAAGTTGAAGAACAACCAATAGAGATTATTTTGTTGATAACATTTACATTAATACTCCTGCAGAAGAACAAATAATCAAATAGAGGTGATCGATATGAAATCGGAGGTAATCGAACTCCTTGACTTGTTAGAAACTCCTTGATATAATTTGATAAGGAGAAAAAAATAAGAAAATACAGTGAACTTTTGTTTCGATAATTTACATTGTCTTCATAACGCCAAGGGTTCTTCCATAGGATTGGTAACGCGGTTTCAAGCCAGTTTGTATTAACTAAAAGACATGAAAATAAAGACTTTGAATCATCTCGCAATTCCTCGAATAAAAGGAAAAGAATATCTTTATTGAGGTTAGACATTTTTTGATTAAGATCAATATGTAAGAAATGAGAAATAAAAAATATGAAAAATGTTGGACAAGTTCAAACTTCTGCAATAGAAAGTGGATAAGTAACTCTGATTATTTTATATAAGCTTTAAATTATTTTAAAAAGGAAAAAGTTTCTCGTTTTCTGTATATTTTTTATTTTTAAATAATACAGTATACTGTATGTATGACTAATTTTTACAGCATCAAATATACATTTATCACGTGTGATTTCGTTTATTCAAGAAATTCACGTGATTTACTTCATTAATGTTTCGCGCAATAACAATAGAAGTGAAGTGAATACTATCGACTAATTAGCTTAGTATATGTAATAACACCACCATTATCAAGAAAAAGGAATGTAAATAAAGTGATTTCGTGATTGATATTATTTAGTGTTGGTAAAACATTATTTACCAATAAATGAATTTATACAAACTATAATAATATTGAAACATTTTGCTATTCCTACCGTTCCGCGGCATACTATCCTTTAAATCATAATACATTTCGTAAAAACAAAACAAATGACCGTCCATCGTTTATTTCGAATTCCTGCTTTTTGTATTAATAAATCAAAAAAATTTGAGTATGAGCGAGCGTAATCCATTAAAAGTTTCATTTATTTAAATTCTTAATACATAGTCCAGATTAATATATCAAATTGGTAATCGCTTGAAATTTTCCGCTAACTTAGAAGGGGTGATGAACCAACAGGTTCTATTCTGCTTATCACGTAAAAAAGTTTCCAACTTTAACGATTCCTCCGTTGCTAAAGGATTTATTAGAAGATTTTATGCCAAATGAGAAAAAGGACGATGGTCACGAGATCAAATGCCGCAACAACCCACGAGCGGACTACATTTCTCATCAATCAAAATTTTGTTATTTACATTATTAAAGTGAGGAAAAAAAAAATTATCATTTAATAAACGATTTGTATACAATTAAAGAAATGCTGACTTATAACCATCTAAAAGTCATAACTAAAATAAATATTCCTCACGGTACCACATTTAAAATCTTTAATTACACCATTCTTGTATTTTTGTATGATATCCACATATTCTTTATTATGATAATCAGAGTCCGGTGTAATAATAGAAAGCGAAGTTCGACCTCCAATTTTCTAAGAAGGACCCCAAGGTTTCCAATGAAAATTTACTATAACCATTCAATCTGATTTTGTGCTGATTTAACCAATGCTTTTGATAACTTTTCTCCAAATTCAAACTGATTATATCTTATTAAATAGGGTGTTACTCTTATATAAACAACTATATTAATAGCAACACCTTTAACGTTTGGCAAGATTTAGTAAATTTCGAATTCCATGAAATTTTCCATTGTTGATCGAAATGCAAGTGACAAATACAAATATTCGACCAAAGGACAATTTTCATAAATTGCACGAAGAAAGGTAAGAGAATCATCATGAAAGTTATCATCCTCAATGTCAAAATAATGATCGATCAAAATTTTCCCTCCACCGTCTTTAACTATACAGATTATCGTACCGAAACAATCCTATCCAATTGAATAAGGGTATCCGCCTTTTTCCTTAATCCCAGAAAACTTTCTTAATAAACGACTTGTTCTGCTACATAATCATCATCATTCCACTCAAAATATTTCAAATTCTTCTGAACCTTGATAGCTTGGCGATTCCATAATTAGGATTAGGATATGTGCTTGCATTGATAATTATGAGCCTTTGTATAGAGTGACAGATACTAGTATCGCATTTTAATTCATAGAGTGATTGAAAGTGATCCGATGCGTCCAGAAATAAAAAATCTGGTGCTTAAGTAACCTCATATCTAAATACTTTATCTCTGGGCATTTCCTCATGGAGAGACTGTAAATTTCTTGTTGTAAAATAAATTGCTTGAAAGTTGTTGAAGGAAAACTAATAGAAATCATGTTGTCAATAACTTTTGCATTGATAATTAATCAAATAAAGGTGATTGGTCCTTACATTCGAAAATTTTTTTATTTTATTTTATTTTTATTTTTTACGAATTTTTCTTAATAATAATGTCCATACTCAATATTCTTGTTATTTGAGGAAAAACAAGATGACCTCATGTCGCTCTTTTCTTGCCTTTTAGTTAATAAAACTTTGACTTGTAACCGTAATACCAATCCTATGGAGGAATCCTTGGTGCTACGAAAATAATTTAAATCATTCAAAAAAAGGTTCTTTGCACCGCGTTATCACTTGCTTTTTATCTGATGATGTTAAGAAATTTCTAATAAGTCTAAAATTACTTTCAATTTAACAGAATGAAAAAAAAAAATCTTTTATTTTTTCATTGTTTGTATGACCAGTGTTACGTTGGAACGGAACTTCACGTGATTATTATTATTGATCTGGATTACAATATTCATTTTATGAATAATAATTCGTTAACTGATTCAGATTTCAACCGATTTCGATCGCTATTAATTTGATTATCAGCATTAATAAAAGTCGCACTAGCTATTTGGAATAATCTTTAATTCATGCTCAACCCACCACCACTAAAAAGGATCCATTTCGGGTGAGTTCTAATATTATCCAAGTAGCGATTAACCTCGTCACCACCATTAATCTCAGCTTCTTCAGATGCAAATAAACGTGACTTAAACCCACTAATCTATAAACAGGTATCAGATTCTTTGCTTTTCATCAATTGATACTCTTTTTTAAAAAATGATATTTTACTAATTCGTATTTCTTCAGGTCATCCACGCATCTTCTTAATACTTGAATCTAAAAGACTTATAAGCAAAGCAGCTTAGGCGGTATATCAAAATAATCAAACAAAGCATCATAAATTGCTTGTACAACAGAATTAATAATGTTAAGATGTCGTGTATTATTTTGAAGATAATTTTCTGTGATTTATTGCTACTTTTTCTTCACCAAATTCATCATCATCATCCATCATCATCCACCATCATCCACCATCACTAAATTAACAAATCTTATTAATTAGAACTGATTATTAGTTATAACTTGGCTTATATCTTTTTTAAAAATAATTAACTTACCACTTTCCTAATTTTTCGATATTTCTTCTTGTTCTATCAACATAACTGGTATATAATCATATTTTAATACGTGAATGGCTGGTTACCTTAAAGAGAGAGTACAACACTTTTTCCGCCTAACCACTCTGCTACTTCCTCAATTAGGGTTAACAATATCAATTAGTTTATTTTAAAAGATCTCATTCATAATCTTTAAGATTTCGATTCTTTAATTTCTCGTAATCCTTTTTAGCATCATTATCCCTTTTTCAATTTAAATTTAAGATTACACGTCCTTTAACTCGTGTAAACTTTTCCAAGAAGTTATAGAACATCATCAATAAATCTTAAAATCCATGATTTCTTTCTTCTATTGTTCATGATTCATTTGTGTGCTGAATTATTAAATCTTGGAATATTTCCTTTGACTTTAGCGTCTAATTCCCAATTCTCTTTTTGCTTCTTCCAGTAGTTCATTTGTTTAAGTGAAGTAAAGAAAAATGATAATTTTTTAAATCGTATAGTCCTTTATGTGCACTACATAGAACACGAATCTACAATTCCTTGATGGCTTTTACCGTATTACTATTACTATTATCAGTAATTGCCGATTTTACTTTACTTTCCAATTCAAGTAATTTAGGTTTGGCTCTAATATTCTGACGTAACATTATCATCTGATAAATAATTTGTTCGGCGTACCATTTTTTTGTAAGCCAATGACATGTGATTCCAATATATCCGGATGTTGCATGAGAAGTACTGTAGTTATAAGGTTTGATTGATGATATACCTAATAACTTGACACGACTTGATAACCGCAACCAAAATATGGAGGTCTAAATGTGGGATCAAGCTTGTTAACCATACGTAAAAACCTTTTCCAATTTCCGAATTAAGGGAACGAGAATTTGTTACAAGCCAGTCAGCTTTGCCATTCGCGTTGTTTTATTTTTTTTTTATGTGGTATTGTTCACCCATCTTTAATAAAGTCATTTAGTGAAATGATAAGTAAATGAATTTAAGAATTTATAATCATGAAAAATATATTTACCTTTTTACGCTTTATGAAAGGAATTTAAATAATTTTGCCAAGTGCTGGTTTGAGTATTATATAAACAGCTATAGTTATATATCTCTTCCATATCATTTTTTAACATATCGACAATAAGCACGTCCATCAGTTTTGAAACCAAAATTCTTCCATGCTTTATGGATTTAGCCCATTGTGGTTCTAGCGATCGT